GCTAGATAGGTGGGACAGTTGGGAGTCCTCCCGGTAGGACAGGCCCAGACGGCCTACCATGCCATGACTCGGATAGATGCACAAGATTACGACAAGGTGAAAAAAGAAATATTGTTGAGACTCAATATAACCCCAGAGAGGCATTCAGGGGCAAGAAGAGGAAGGAAGAGAGGGTACCCCGAGCTGTATGGCAGCGCTTGGCAGACCTGCCAGACAAATGGCTGAGGCCAAAAACTTTAACCAAAGAAGAAGTCTGTGATCAAATACTACTAGATCAGTTCCTCACAGACCTGGAAGACCATACACAGAGGTGGGTTCAGTGCCACTGTTCAAAATCTTCCCTCGAGGCCCTTCAGCTGGCAGAAGACTTTGATGCAGCACAGGGAGAGATCAGCTAGGAAAGAAGCACCAGGGGAACCGGGACAAATTGTGCCTGAGAGGTGGAGCGCAAAATTGAAGGAGTGGACCTCCACAGTAGTAGACTTACTATGTCTAGTTAAAAAACCCATTAGTATGTCAAGCAATAATTTAGGCAGAAAAAAGTCACCATTTCTTAATTATTAATAACTTTGTTTAATTATGTCTTAATTCTTCAAATCTTTGCAGCAGCTTTCACTTGAGTGTTAAGTACATAGAAAGTTTAAAGAGACTGGTTTTCTTTTGTTACTTAGGATATTTGGACCAAAGGGGGCTCATGTGTGTGCTATGTTTCCTAAAGGAAACATTTTAAAATTCATTTAAATACATTAAGTCATAGATTTACTTGCAGGGGAATTCTGTATTCAAAAAGTAAGTCCTGGAAATTGAGGAGGGTGCATCGTATTTGTTACAACTGGAGTCCCTACGTTACATCCAAAATTTGACTGCCTCAGCTATGAACCTGAGATTGATTGAGCCTATGAATTGAACACCAAGGTTGTATCCAGACAAGCGTGGACATGCAATATGTGGCACCACATACCGGTCTACAGTGCCACACTCCACACATGCAGGCATTTCCTGCATTGCTACTTTGCAGGACAGGGTTTTTTTTACTCTGGGATTGCCTGTGGTCAAAAAAAAACCCATGCCAAAAAAAAAGGGGCAGCACACATAGCAGCAGCACATGCCACTTAAAACTGGAGCCTGGCCAGCCAGAGCCACTCTGTGGCTGCTAGTGAGTCTTCCTGCTTCAGGAACACTGTGGCTGCAACTCCTCAAGGTCCCCATGACCCCAGGTAAGACTGCTGGGACCAGGACAGTTGTTGGCCCTCCCCTCCACTATCCTACCTGGGGTAACCTGCCATGTGCCAAAATGCATGTGGCATGGGCATTCTCTGGGGGCAAGTAGCAGTGGCACAAGGTGTACCACTGCTACTTGCCCTCAGGGGAAACGCACATTCCCACTCATCTGGATGTGCCCAAGGTGTTGTTTTAGACCAGCTTTCCTTGTTTTACTATGTATTAGGTAGAGTATTTAATACCATAATGCTGTAACATAGAAGGCTTATTTTTTAAAAGAGTTAATTTAATTCTCCTTGAGCCATTAAATTGTGCTAGTAAAGGTATTCATGAATTAGTTGTGTTATATAATTTTATGCAAACATTAGGATCTCATATACCATTCATTAAGTTACCTCATATTTACATTTTTAATGTCTGTATTATAAGTACAGCATCTTTTGTTGTGGCCATGTTGCTTAGCTAATATTAATGATCACTTTGTGTAGGTGTCAGTCAGAACTTACTTGCGAAATGAAAACTGACAGAATAGAAATGAGAAATTGGATAAGATGGGAATCAAAACAGAGAGCTGACATTGTAGATCACTTAGTTATAATCTAATATGTTTTAATTGGCTGGCATTCAGGCAGTGCTTCAGTTACTTATCCCACTCTGGGATAAAAATCTGATTGTGAATATTAATCTACTGTGTTCCAGAAGTAAAATGCTGCATACTTCACTTTATTATAGAAATCTACTGTTCTGAGTGTTTTGCTTTACCATCACTTTTTCTGTATTAGGTCACATCAGTTTATCACACCAGAATGTTACATGCAAAATTTGTAACCAGAAATCCATTTTTTGGTCAGCATGGGTGAAATACTGACCCTACAGATGTCAGTGTGAGTTTTGCCACTGATTTCAGCGGAGTCAGGTTTTCATCCTAGATGGTTATAAATGAAATGTATCTTGTCTGAGTACCATCCAGTAGATGTATATATTTTAGCCAAGTTTAAAATAACATAAACAGTGTTAGGAAGAACTGTGGGACTTCTCTCTCACAGGGAAATTCCCTAATCACCAAGCTAGAGACATGCTCACTCTTACTCCATTCTAGCACTGTTTATGCATATGTGGTCATTGGTTAAAACAAAAATAATGTGGTAGGAGGAGCTATGTTCCAGGACTTTTCCCTCCCTGCGTCATGCCCTATCACTAGGCAGGGGTGTCAAACATATGGCCCATGGGCCAGATTGACCCATGAAGCTGTATGATCTGGCCTGTGGAGTGTCGGACTGATTCCATGTGCTGGCCTCAGCCCTATGTGCTGAATGTGGTATGCAGAGTGCACCTGATGCCACGCTTCCTGCATGCAACACAATGTGTGCTATATGTGGTGCCTCACCAGACTGGCCCTGCATGCTGGCTCTAGGGCTAGTTTGGATTGGACCATGCTGTAGCTAGTGTGTAAAGTGGGTTCTTCAGGCTGTGGCATGCAGTACACACCCTGTGACAGCCCAAGGCATGTGGGACTGGCATTGGGCATGTACCGTTGGATCTAGCTCTGCACATGGCACAAGGAGTTTAGGACACTTGCTGCATCAGTTTTGATTTGATTTCTATGCTGCTGTTATTAGTCATGACTCATGTGTTTTGTGCACTCAGTGGCTCTTGTCTCTCCAGGGTTGGAGGTAGAATTTGGACTTTTGCATGAGCAGTGTGAATCGCAGAGGACTTTAGGTGGGAATGAGAGAGGAAGGTGGCTTCTTGGGGTCAGTTCTGACCATAACAGGAGCCTGAGTAAAAATGTTGAATTCCAGAAGAGGAATATACTGGATTTAGGCCCATGGGCTAAGTACAGTCAAAAAGCCCGAGGCTGAATTGATTCAGTCTTTGCAGGTTAGTTTAAGATGCAGAGATTAAACTGACTAACAAGTGAACAGACATTTACTTTTTGTAGCCACATGCCTACAGTGACTCAGGCCAAAACCTGGGGAGTGCTAGAGCATGGCTCTCTGGCAGGTAGCCAGCATGGGTTGTGTGTTCACTTCCTCTTCTTGTTGCCTAGGAGGTCTCTGGGATTTGCAGTTCAGAATCACAACAACACTACTTCTTCCTGCTTCCAGGTGCATCTGGGATTTGTATTCCACAGTTATAGCCAGCAGTAACTTTAGCAGGACAGGGCAGCTCTGTACTTGGGGAAAGGGGGGTTTAAACCCCCTCCCTGGCTCCAGACCCCAGCTGGGGGGTTTGCTGGGGAGGGCAGTCCCTGCCCTGGAGTAGACAGCACAGCCCAGCTCAGGGCTGGAAGGCATGCTGGGATGCTGGGGGACTGTAATTTCACTTGAACCAGGAAGGGGTCTAGGACAGAAGTTTCATAAACCGGCTTGACCCAAATCAGTTAAGTCTGATACTACATTTAACCAGGTTTATCTTAAACTAGTTTCAGCCATTTTGAAACTGGTTTATGTGCACTGAATTTCTGTTCTGTTACAGGTTTAAACCAGGTTCTGATTACTTAAACTGGTTTATGTGTAACTTCTCTCCCTAGCCATGATGAGTTTTCAGAGGGCTGCCTGCTTCAGTTGCTCCCTAGGGCTAAAGTGTCTAATTCCCACCCCAGTCCGGGTTCTGTGCTAATTGAGGTGATTTGAATCTAGCCTTCCCTGTTTTGAAGTGAAAGCTAAGAGTTTCATGTAACCAGCATTCCAAGAGCTGGAATTTGAAGAAAATGAAAACCAGGAAATAGCATAAGAGTCATAGTAAATTTGTGAGCTCCTCACCATCAGGTTATAGGTAAATATGTCAGTTTCAGAATGATGGGACTTATTAATATCACCATCTCTCTTCTCCATCCAAATCTGTTGTTTATGCAAGCAGAACAAATGAAGGGCCTGTTCTATAGTGCTCGCTCTTGTGAGAAACACCATTGAAATGACTGGACCTGTTTCTGATCTCACACCAGGGTAAATGAGGATTATTGCAGGTTATACTGTATGCTGTCTTTAGGCTATGGGCACACATGCTGCCAATAATCTGTATTCTCGAAACATATTGAGAAGCTGAATGTTTTTGATTTAGCTCTGACCTCTGGAAATCTCTTAGGCCTTAATAAGGTACTAAAGTATGTGAGCAGCTTTGCACATATATTCCAATTCTGTATGTTTGAAGTTAGGCAGGAGTTGGCTAAATGGCAGTGACAGTTCATGCTCTGTAGCCATGTTTATGTTGAGCCAGGAACGGGGAGTTTGGGAACGTGATTGTTTATGAATTATATTGTGTATGAGAGCAGTTTAAGGTTACATGCATCCATGAAGGCCTGCAGGGGCACAATGCAAATGTATCAGTAGTTTATGCTCATTTTGGAGGGAGAAGTAAAGAGTGCACATAATAATACTGTACATAGTTGAGTATTGACTTTGTGTTTTGGTGTACATTAAGATTTATTGTCCCTTGAGGTAAATATTTATCTCTCGGATCAATGCATTTCGATTTTTCAGTTCAAGTCAAGTCAATATTTGTTTATCAGACCAATACAACCCTGAGGTCTAAGCAGGGATTTAGAAAGTGGACTTGCTGGTGCTTTATATCTTTGTACTAAAACAAATATTACTTCATTTTAGGCACATTTTAAGATAACAGATCATATGTCTCATAATATGTTGTTCTTATAAAATACATTCGTCAACATTTTTAACTTACTTTTAAGTTAGTCTTTGTATTCAGAAAAAAATGTAAAGGTTTTAAAACGTCTTTAATTTTTTTTAATGTAATGCATGGATATATTTTTCTTTCAGGTGGCCTGGCTTTAGCTCAGGTACTATTCTTTTATGTGAAATACTTGGTTCTCTTTGGTGTTCCTGCACTTATTATTCAAATGGATGGACTTAAACCTCCTGCCTTACCTCGTTGTGTGAGCACAATGCACAGTTTCACTGGAATGTGGAGGTCAGTGGGTTTCATTTATTACTGATACATGATAGTAAAAGTTTCAGTGAACTCATGAAGCGTGCATTATAATTATTTTTGTGGTTTTTGTGGATTCTTTGAAATCTGGCATTGCCTGTGAAATCTGAGGGTGGGGAGGAGGAAAACTTACAGAAAATAAAATGCTTTCTTCTCAGAGGTCACTCCCGCCCCTCACTGCTGATTGAGTATGAGGGTTGCCTGTCATGTGGCTCTGCCCCTTTCCACTGTTGGTCATGCAGTCCCCCCCCACCCCACCGATTGATGGAGAGGGGTAGGAAGACATGACAGGCAGCCCCTGCAGCCAGTCATTGGTGAGGGGCAGGACCATTGGAGCCCCTCCGCCAACTAGAGGCCTGGGGGAGCCTGCTGTACTCCGCCTGCAAAATGGGTGCCTGGGCCTATGTTCTGCCTATGAAATCGGAGAGCAGCTCCCACAAATTAGGTAGCCCTTAATTATAATCTGTATAAGCAAGTACCATATATAGAGTAACTTGCAAACTTAACAGTAGAGTTTTGTATGTGTCTGAATGTAAATATATGAGCCTGTTCCTAACTAGTCTTCATCTTGTCAATGTTTGCAGTGCACTTGAGTTTGAGGGTTTCCCTTTCCATGCCAATGGGAAGTTTTCCTTTCAGGGTTGTTACCATCTTAGTGATTAAGATGATATCCAGGCTACATCATTCCACTAAGCTAACAATTACTTTTTCCACTGCTGATGTTTATTAAATATGATGCATTTTTTCAGTCTTGGTCAAAAAATCACAAATCAGTTTAAAATTCAGCCAGAGAAATTCATTATATGCATTTAGTTACTGTATTATAAAACCTGTGGATGTGAGATTTAATATGAAAACCATATAGACATTTATGTACATGTGAATAATGTGCATTTATGTGTGTATTAAATCAGTGAAGTGTTATAGGGCAGGGGTGGGCAAAATATGGTCCACAGGCTGACTCTGACCTGCCAGGCCATTCTGTCTGGCTCATGGGGCACCTACAAAGTTTAGAAAATTGACATTTATGTGCTCCGGGCTCCCTGTCAAAGACAGGGACCAGGGGCAGTAGGACCCAGGGGACGCTGGCAGGAGTCAGGAGAAAGGACAGCCTGCACAGTCCCATGCCCAGCCTCCACCCAGAAGTGTCTGCCTGCGGCAGCTTTCCCTGCACATGGCAGGCTGCTCCGGTACCACGTGGCCCCTGGCTGCATCACTGGACCATAGGAGCAAGGGCACACTGGTACCCCGGGGCCAGGAGAGGTGTGTGTGTATGCATGCAATGAGGGAGGAGGAGAGAGAGAAAGATCAATGAGGCGAGCACACTGTGTGTGTGTGTGTGTGTGTGTGTGTGTGTGTGTGTGTGTGCGCATAAGGTGAGTCCCACAAACACCCCCCACTATACACATGAACCCACACCCCCCTCACCCTGCCATACATGCATGCAGTCCTCTCACACAGCCCAGCCACCCCATACACATTCCCCACAAACCCCACATGTCCACACACACCCACAAGCTCCTTCAATGCACCCCCACTCCCCACACCTATCCACCCCCTACACACACTCACACCGTCTTCCACATACTCACATACCCATAGCCCCCCACAGACCAATACCCACCCCCCATGCCCTGCACAGTTTACAAGAGTAAGACTTCATTTTAAGCTATTGTGCGATCACCTCTATGTACACTACACAAAGGTATGTAAATTAGGAGAAAAATGTTTTTTGAAATCAAATTATTGAATGTTGTAGATGTGTGATTTTTAGAATATAATTTGGCATTTTTCTGGTTCTGAGATGGCACAACCCCTTGCTGAAAGGAGTACTTCTGGGGGCAAGGGGAGGGAATTCTGGTGGCAAAGGTTGGGGGGTTAGGAGGCAGGACTTCCCGTCCCAAGATGGCAACCAGGGGGTGGGGCTACCCCTGTGGCCCTTGGCTGCTTGCTAAACCTCGGTATGTGCCCCTTGCCCGAAACAATTGCCTGCCCCTATTGTAGGGTGTTAAAAGCAATAGTTATCCATATTTTAGTCTACCATTATGATGTTCCTCTAGGCTGATTAAACATAAATATGGAAGATCAAAACCATGGTTGTGAAATTTGCAGTTGTTTTAAAACAGTGGTTCTCAACCTTTTTTTAACTCAAGAGAGCCTTCTGTAGACTCAAGGCATCCATCCCTAACTTCTGTGAATTGAGCAGCACCCCATTTCAGAAAGTAATTTTCTTTTCTTCTTCCTTCTATCCCTCACAGTCAAGGATGATTGTCTTCCACAATTGTCTTATCTGTGTGTCTGAAGATGGCTGATGAGGTTTATCTGGGATTGACAGACTCTTCTACAACTGGGACATGTGTTTCCATTTGGGGTGGGTGGCACTTGATTCTTGATTTGGTCCACAACACACTGATTCTGGCACTCTTGCTTTTCCATCTCCTGTTGTTGTGAAGTTTCAAAGTACTGAGAACCCTGTAGCAGACCAGTCCTGGGCAGTGATCTTCCATGAATTGACATGGATGCTGCATTTTTTAAAGTTGTCCTTGAGGACATCCCTGAAGTGCTTTCTCTGCCCTCCTCTTGACTGTACACCTTCTCTGAGCTGGGAAAATAAAACTTGCATCAGGAGTCTGGAGTCAGACATCCAGATGACATGGCCGGCCCAATGAAGTTGATGTTAGATGATCATTCCCTCATTGCTCAAGGTGTTTGCTTGTAGGAGGATGCTAATGTTGATGCATCTGTCTTCTCACTAGATTTGGAGGATCTTCTGCAGGCAGCATTGATGGTACTTCTCCAACACTTTAGAAGTCTTCTGTACATTGTCCATGTCTCAGCTCCATACAGCAAGGTGGGGATCACAACTACTTGATAAACCATCAGCTTGGTTTTGGATTTGATATTGTGATCTTTGAACACTTGTTTCTTCAGGTGTCCAAAGGCTACATTTGCATATTTGAGGTGATGTTGGATTTCTTTGTCGATGTCAGCCTTCCATGAGAGATGGCTTCTGAGGCATGGGAAATACTTAAGGTTCTCCAGAGTCTCACCATGGATCTGGATTACTGGAGCTGGGGACTGTTCATTAGGAGTTTGTTGGTAGAAGGCCTTAGTCTTTTGAATGTTAAGCATGAGTCCCATTTTCTTGTATGCCTCGGTAATGATGTTGACAATTGGGTGAAGGTCTGCTTCCGAGGGAGCACACACTACAGCATCATCATCATACTGAAGGTCAATGATTATTGGAGCTCCCCACTGTCTTAAACTTGTGAAGAATCAATGTACCACTGTCATCAGTACATATGCCCTGACTGTTGACACTGCCAGTGAAACCAAGGAGGAATTCTATGCCAACCTTGATCAAGTCTTTTCTGACATTCTGGAGGGAGATGGACTTATTCTTGTTGGTAATTTCAATGCCAGAGTTGGAAGGGACTCTAACTTCTGGAACGGAACCATTGGGAAAGAGTAGGAAAGTTCAGCTCCAGTGGTATCTTCCTCTAGACCAAATGCATAGAACATGGACTCACCATCAACACCATGTTCCTTCAGAAAAACAGGCACAAGACATCATGCCAACACCCACAATCTAAGCATTGGCACCTGATTGATTATGTCATCATCTATGCCCAGGATCACAAAGATGTCCATGTATTGATCAGCTGACTCATGTGCTTGGTTATACCACTCAAACTGGCTCCCAAATGATGGCTGCAGCAGAAACAATGCTGATAGCAGACCAATATTGAAGGACTCAAGGACCCAAGCAAGTGAGACCTCTTCCACCAATGCCTCAATGAAAAAGTGGTGAATTCCAATGAACAACAATGGGAGAATATCAGCAGCATGTGGGGTGCCTTTAAGGCCACCATCATCAGCACCTGTGAAGAGACACTTGGATTCTGTACTAGGAAACATCAAAGTTGGTTTGATGAGAACGACCAGGAGATACTAGAGTTGATCAAATGCAAGTGCAAGGCCTTTTGTGCTTGGCAAGATGATACCAACTCCAAGCAAAAGAAATTGAATCCACAAGAAGCCAAGGCAGAGGTCCAAAGGAGGACCTGCAATATGAAGAACAAATGGTAGAAAGACAAGGCTAAGGAGATTCAACAGCTCACTGACATCCATGATATGCGTGGTTTCCTCGGTGCCACCAAAGCCATCTATGCTCTGAGCACTCAGGGACCACTCCCCTTGAGACCTAAGGGTGGAGGAGACCGGATCAAGGAACTCATTTATTACAGTGCATACGTCCTTGCAGAGGGGCTGGGCAGTGGGGACAGAGTAACATCTAGGCAGGGACGGAGCTTGAGCCTTTGCTTATGTACTTATCTCCTCATACCTGACTTATCTCCTTCCACCCCAAAACACCCTTCAAAAGACATTGTGGCACCACTGGGTGCTCTGGCACCATGGTTGAGAATCACTGTTTTAAACAAATAAGACTCTAAGTGTTTAGATGAAGGGACACTTCCCTTATTATGTGCGTCTACAGCGTGTTTGTGAGGGGCTTCTCCTAGCTAGGGCTTCTAGGCACTGTTATGGAACAAACAAACCTTTTTCTTTTTTCATAATAAAAATAATAGCACCATGTACCATATTAATATTAGGGCTGATTTGGATGAGACTGTTTTTGCCAAAAGAAAGAGACTTTATGATTTACTATACTTTTCCTTTGTGAAGATAGAAAGCATTCAACAAAGGAGTAGGTTATTTGGCTGAGGCTTGAGGGGAAAAGGTAAGATACTCTGATTAATAATAATTCAAGCTAATAACAAAAGATACCTTGGGTTTAGATTCTCTTATGAAACTCTCAACTGAACTTTTGACCGATCAAGCTGAACAAGAAATCTGTTTCTTACCAGCCTGTCAGCTGTTTACAACATGTTTTTGACCAAGCTGGTCCTTGGAAAAACAGTTTGAACCAGAAGCAGTGTTCTCCTTCTTACATAAGTTAGTACTCTGTGGAATCTGAATATTGTTCTCAAGGTATAAACTAAATTGCAGATCAGCACAAGGACAGAAGATGTTGCAATGTCTGTTGACACAAATAAGCCACAAAAAAGGTTATGAAACATAAAGTTAGATATACTGGCTGGCATATTTTTAAGCATGTGTTTTGTTTTAAAAATATTTATAAAATACTTATCCTTATGGTATTTTCACATCTCATAAGATCATTGAAAACTAGTTTTGGTAGGTAATCAGATTTCGTTTGTTGCGTGTTCTTAAAATGGATAAACATGTGGGCCACTTGTATTTTCTTTTTGCCTAACCATCCCATTTACTAATATGCATAGTGAACAATCACTGCCAGAAATAATTAAAAATGATCTCTCACAGATGGGATTTATTCATTTTTGTGTGTGTTGAAAATTCAGTTCAAGTCCAGCTGATTTGATTTCTTGCTCTGGAAGCTGTGATAGCTGTAGAATTTCCCATGGCTACTAGTGAAATATGGGTCAATTTCAGTTATCTAAGAAATTTCACATAGCTTGCCCTTTCTGTCCCCTGAGTTACGATTCTCTTATTCCCTCACAGTTAAACTCATGAATCACTGCTGCCCACAGGGCTGTAATCCATTTTTGTGTTTGGTGCCTCATGTAAGAATATTGTTATTAGAAGTGGAAGGCAGAATAACAGCCCTTGCTTTTAGACAGTAGGCAATATAGTCCTAGGAGTACCAGGTCATCCCACCCAGAATTTAAGTGATGTGTCCCAACTGCCTCAGGGATATCAAAAGGCTGGAGAGCAGCATAGTTTACAATTAGAGGTCTTGGGAACAGTGAAAATAGTGTTGCTTTAGATGGATGACAAGTCTATTAGATTCAGCGTATAAGTTATCCTGCTCCGGTGAGGACAGTGGGGTGAGTGGCTGGAAGCTCAGAGGGCAAGAGTAGAAGGCCATAGCAGAAGCACTTATGGTATGGCCCTGTCGGATTCCAGTGAATCTGCGAATTCTGCTAAATACTTTGTCACACAAGGACATGAGAAAGGAAAGGAAGTATGTGTGTTACCTGACTACTCTGCATTACTTAGTCAGAAGGCAGTTTAAGTCATAGTATAACATCTGCTCTTAATGGTGTACAAGAAGATTTGTACTAGCAGTCTTTACAAAATAATGGAAAGGGCTAAAAAGCGGATTGAATGTTACAGAATAGAATAGATACAAAATGGAGAATAAAACAGATACAAAATGGAGTGTACAGGTGACAAGCAACGGCAGACTGTCAGCCAAAGTAGCAATCTAAAGATGGCATTCAGACACTATAAAATACCACGTAATGGTTTGGAGGCATGATGATTTTCATTGATAGATGATAGATGCACAGAGCCCCAAAAGAAATTAGGGCCTCTGGCACACATTTGTTTAATGGTGTGATGGTATCTGATCCCTAAGCCCCATAGTTATGCCTCCTGGCATGTCACACTTACATGGCAGGTTGTGTGATTTTAGGATTAGGGATCAGATCCCAATTGTTCCATTACTACTTACCAGTTCAGGGATAACCCAGGATTATGATCCTGGGCTTCCCCTGCATGGCAAGTTGAAAGCTGGGTACCCACAGCCTGGTGTGAACTGTTGCAATATCAGGGCCAGAACTGACAATCAGCTGATTGTGGGTCTTAGCCCAGGGACTGCACTGGGGCTAGTCCCAGAGCCCCATGCATGGGATGTCAGAAAACCTTGTGTGCAGCCCAATGGCATGTGTGGTTTTTTAAGGTCCTGGTGCACTGGGGTCCTGGGATCTGGGAGAGGTTTAGATGTCAGAAAACTGTAGCATGCAGCCTGGCTGCATGCATAGTTTTTCAAAGTCCTGGCTGCTGAGGACCCCAGGATCAGGGAACCTTTCCCTGATCCCAGGATCTTCCTGGCTGGAATGTTTCAGGTTCCTTGATCACCTGCAGCTCCCTGTGACCTGGCACCCTGGCGCAGCTGATGAGCTCCCTGCGGCTCCTTGATAGACTCAGCACCCTGAAAACACCTCAGGCAGGGCTGCACCACAATCATCCTGCTGACATGGGGGGGGGGAGCAGTCAGCCAAGACCTGCCATACAGCTGGCATCAGTTTGCATGGTAGGGCTACCCTGTGACATGTTCAATTTAAGACACAATGGAAACCAGCCACAAAATCATGACACACATTTTGTAGGGTATTTTTGTGGCTGGTTTCCCATTTTCTTGTTGCACCATTAATTGCCTGAACATATAGCTGGGGTGCTGTTTATGGCAGGATTAACAGGTTAATCATGTCTTAAGCGTAACATCTGCTGTGGGCCTATGAGTGCAAAGCTATGAAGAGAGAGGTAGTGTAGAGTGAGACTGGAAGATAATGCTCATGTCATAAGCAAAGCAGATGAACCATTATGAATTGTGGGTGGTAACTTGAATGAACTAATTTTGTTCTCTTGCTGACTTCTGTTGGCCCTCAAAACATAGAAACAAATTCTAGGATTGTAGAGCAGACAAATGTTGGCCTGGTTCACGGTGTGCTTTGTCTCCCCATCTGCAATGGTAAACAGTTATTCAGCAGATGGGAGGTCAGTAATCCTGGTCAGCAAATGTTGCAAGGCACTGACCAACAGCAGACAGGGTGATTCAGCATCTCCCAGCACCTTCCTGATTTCCCTTTGGAGAGGCTGATGGATGGAGGTGTGGTAGTCAAGGACCTTGGGATAAAGGTGTATGGCCAGGAGATTGCTGATCTGCAAGACAAGGAGTATGAGGGCTTGCAAAAGTCAGTTTCATACCCTCTACAGGACGAGTGAACAATTTGGGCTGCATATAGATGCTGTCAAGACAAAGACTGTCTTATGTAGGAGAAAGGAAGAAAACCAGGCAATAAAATAGGCAGCAGCAAGATGGATGTGGGCAGTTTTGCCTGGGAAGCCTCATTATATGGGATAACAGTTGCTTTGCAGATGTTGTGAGATGGATACAGCTGGTGCAGGCAACCATGAATGATCAGAAATTGACATGGAGAAACAAGGGAAAAATATAAGGTTGCTCAAGTCATGTGTTCTCAGTCCTGTTGCATATAGCAGGCACATGGTCTTTTAAGAAGGCCAGTGTATGGGGAACTGCTGGCTTTTGAAATGAATTGTTGGAGCCAGTTACTTGTGGCCAGTTGGTGGAACCAGATAAGCTAAAGGGTCAGCAAAAGGACTGGTGTGACAGATACCGTCACTGACATGTCAGTGAGGAAGGAGCTCCAGCTATTTGGATCTTCAGGATGAAGGACTGGTGACTGCTGAGGCAGACTGTGCAGGAAGTCTAAAGATGCTACTGTATTTACTCAAATCCAAGGTGAGGTTTTGCCTACCAATGACCATGGGAGGAAAAGCCTCATCTTAGATTTGAGTACCAGCCAATGGCAGGCAGTGGTTCACTCCAGCTTCAGCCCCTGTCTTGGCGTTGAAGCTGGAGCTGAGC